TGCCTCTGGACCCCTCAGTCCCCTAGGAGGCGTATTTACATACACACATTTTAATGGATCATATCTCCATACTTTTAAAAATTGCTTTTTTTCCAGTTTAGAGTGTATTCTATAAGCCTTGCTCTGGGAATGCCTCAACAGTAACTTTTTAATCATTGCCTGGTATGTGAGGTCTACATCATTCTGTCTAATTCTTGCCATGGGCATCTAAGACCACGCTGATGTTTTTTATTATAAACAATGCTGCAAGGAATACTTTTATAGCTAAATCTCTATTTTCTACATTTCTTCTATTAGCAAAAATTCCTAAACTGAATTTGCATAAGCAGGAGTGTGTATTTCGGTGATCTCTTCCTTGCTAATGAGCCGCTCAGAAACTTAGTGGCTTAAAACAACAATTCTTTTGTATGATTCTGGGGGTGTCTCGCAGTTTCTTCTGGAGTCACTCTGGGAGCTGCATGCTGTCGGAAGTGGGCTCAGCTAGAAGGTCCCAGATGTCTGGTGGTGTCTGGCAACCAGGCAGAGGCCCTTGGCTGTCCTCCACGTGGCCTCTCAACCCCCAGCCGGCGAGGGGGAGCTGCTGCACCACGTGGTCCAGGGCTCCTAGCAGAAAAAAGGAGATACTGCAAGGCCCCTTGGGGTCCCACGTCTTGAACCACGCATTCCTGGGCCGAAGCAAGGCGTTCAGGAGGGTGTGGAGACAGCAGCGGCACCCAGGCGGGCACTCGGGCGGCAGGATTTGCTGGGATATCATTACCATGGGGGCCACAGGCGCATCCTCAGCCCTTCTCTGAAGCTGCCACACTGGCTTCAGAGCCTCTGCCGCCGCAGCCAGTGTTCTTTGGGGATGTTTATCTTGAAACAAGCGGGTGCAGCCACTTCCGGAAGAGTGCGTGCGATAGGTGATGGCAGAGTTTTCTGTCCCCCCAGTGGCCACAGCCACACCCGGAGGTGGTTAACTCAGGTGGTTGACCCGAGGACACGGAGCTGTGCGCTCACCCGGCTTGTCCATCTCGAGCGTCTCCACGCTGTCACTCTGGTCCAACCCCCCTCCTATCTGCCTGGAGCCCGCAAAACCCTCTTTGCCCTGCTTGTCCCCTCTGCCTTTTGCTGTGTAGCATCCAGAATGACTTTTCCAAAATGCAAGTCACGTCAGGGCAGACCCAGGCTGAAAACTCCTGACTACGCCTCGCTGCCGAGACAGAGTGAATCCCGAGCCTGCCGGTGGGAGAGGAGGGCCTCGGTGGGGAGCCAAAGCTGGACGTGGCAAGCAGGATGTTATATCGACCGGTGTCATGGCTACTGCTCCAGGCATTGTGACTGTAGCTCTTAAAATTCTCTTCTAGGCCGGCGCCGCGGCTCACTAGGCTAATCCTCTGCCTGTGGCGCCGGCACACTGGGTTCTAGTCCCGGTCGGGGCGCCGGATTCTGTCCCGGTTGCCCCTCTTCCAGGCCAGCTCTCTGCTGTGGCCAGGGAGTGCAGTGGAAGATGGCCCAAGTGCTTGGGCCCTGCACCCCATGGGAGACCGGGAGGAAGCACCTGGCTCCTGGCTTTGGATCGTCACAGCGCCGGCCGTGGTGGCCATTAGGGTAGTGAACCAACAGAAGGAAGACCTTTCTCTCTGTCTCTTTTTCACTGTCTATAACTCTCTCTCTCTAATTCTGCCTGTCAAAAAAAATTTTTTTTAATTCTCTTTTAAGAAGCTCCCATTTGTAAGAAGGGCTTTTAAAATCATCGCAAGAATTTCTGTCTAGAGCAAGTGTTTGGTCCAGTGCTTAAAACACCACTTGGGATGCCTCCATCCCGTGTCAGTCCCTTGGTTCAAGTCTTGCCTCCAATTCCCATCTGCTTCCTGGTAACGTGCACCCTGGGAGGCAGCGGATGATGGCTCAAGTACCACACAAGTGGGAGGTCCACCACCCATGCAGGAAGACCTGGACTGAGCCCCCAGCTTCTAGTTTCGGCCTGGTCTAACCTCTGCTTTCGGGGAGTGAACCCGTGGATGGAAGATGTCTTTCTGTCTCTCTGCCTGTTTCTCGCAAATATATATATATATATATATATATATATATATATATATATACTTGACAGGCAGAGTGGACAGTGAGAGAGAGACAGAGAGGAAGGTCTTCCTTTTTTCCGTTGGTTCACCCCCGCTACGGCCGGCACACCACGCTGATCCGAAGGCAGGAGCCAGGTGCTTCTCCTGGTCTCCCATGGGGTGCAGGGCCCAAGCACCTGGGCCATCCTCCACTGCACTCCCTGGCCACAGCAGAGAGCTGGCCTGGAAGAGGGGCAACCGGGACAGAATCCGGCGCCCCAACCGGAACTAGAACCCGGTGTGCCGGCGCTGCAGGCGGAGGATTAGCCTATTGAGCTATGGCGGCGCCGGCGCAAATATATTTAAAAAAAAATTCTGTCTCCAGACTTCTGCTTCCTAGGTTCAGAGACCTTGTGCATACTGTGGCTATCTGGATAACCAGAGCCTCACCGGGATGTACAAATTTTACTTTCAACTGCTGCGCTCCGAGGCTCTGCCACTGAACTTTGCGAGGCGGACCGCGCCCCCTAGTGGAGAGAGATGGATTCTCGGGATTGCCGCAGCGACTGACGGGCAGGAGGCGCCTGGCTGCTAAGTAAGGTTGTGTCAGTTTCCACTTCTGAAGCCAGCGCGGGGCAGCGGGGTCACAGGGTCGCTCTCGGGCACCGGGGAAGGAAGAGAATCGGGCACGTGGCTCACAGTGAGAACCCCTACGTCCCTTTTGAGCTTCTGTGTCAAGATCCCCCAGAAAGTTGGGGCGCAGGCTGCACAATCAGCCTTGGCAGCCAGGCTCAGCGTCACCCGTGCGCTGGTTCCCTCCAGCCCCTCCCCTGGGAGACCAAGCCCGGCCTGCCAGGCCCATTTAGGAGACAGCCCTCAGCCCGGCCCACTGCGCCTGGAGGAACCCATGGTATTTCCTGCAGACAGCAGCCGCTCAGAGGACCTGGCCTGCCTGCGGCAAGTGCTTGGCACGTGGGTCTGTCACATGCATGGCCCACAGGTATTTGCTGAACACCTGAATTAGGCACCCCAAGACTTCTCAGCGAGACTTGGCAGGGATTGCACACAGACGGGCTAGTGGCCAGGCCTGAGTTGGAGCTTGGGACAAGGAAATGCCTGGTCCTTTCTTATCAGATGTAGAAAATTCACCTACCTCCTGGGGGAGGGGTGGGGTCAGGGAGATGGCACCTGTGTCTCCGCCACAGAGAGGCTCAGGAAGCGATTTCCAGCCAGAATCGTCACCCCTGCACAGCGAGGTGGTGGACATGACAAGGGGCCCCTCTCCCCATCACCCCAAGTCCTAGCACCTCTTCTCGAAGGCAGGAGATAGTGCCCAACCCCCAAGGCCCTTACCCTGTCAGCTGTGGGGGTCACCCTGGCATTTGGACCCCTCATGTCTTTACTGCTCGCTCTAGGGACACGTTGTGGGCATTGCTGCTTTGCAAGGTTCACCCTTGAGGATCCCTGGTGCACGAGTGTTCATGTTCCAGGGGGTTAATTGTTGCTGCCCGCAGGAAGTGGGTGTCTCTCCAGTTTTACGATGCTTCCAAGCCATGCCCCAGACACCAGCAGAGCTGCTTTCCAGAGATTCTGGATGTCACTGTCCCTGTTACCCTGTAGGGCTCTGCTAACTGTCACACCCCACTTTCTCTAGAGCCCCGAATGCCCAGCCCTGAGACGTCTGTCCAGTGACACTGTCCCTTGGTGACATTTCTGATGTCACACAGTTTGAAGGTGAGGCAAACACATCCTCTCCTTCCTCCCCAAATGCAAGGAATTGCCAAAAAGTCATGGAAAATCTGTACTATGAGAAAAGCAGGCAAAAAGCTTTTGCACCAAAAGAAATGTACCTTTTAGCTGCATTTTCCATGAACTTTGGGAAATCCGCTCCTACAGCACTCCCTATTAAAGAAACCATCCTGTTTAACGAGAGAGGGAGAGAGAGAGAGAGAGAGCTTGTGAGCAGGTTCTAAGGAGACATGGATAATCCCATTTTGAATGCAAATCAAAATTTGTCAAGGCCAGCAGCCTTGGATTTTCTTCTCTGTGATTTTTCTCTTTTGACAACATGTGTTATTTTATAGGCGTTATATTTACTGGTTAAAGAAGTGACACTATACACACCTCTGAAAACAGACCCCGGCTCCCTGTGAGGGCCTGGGCAAGTTTTTCAAACACGGTGCTCCTAACTCTGTGACCCCAGCTCTGCTTAAACAGTTTTCAAACTGAACAGCCAGGCTAGACCACAGCCACGACAGTTGGGGTGGTTGCCCTGAGGCGGGAGGCGTGGGGAGCTCACCTGCTCTCTCGGGTTTCAATCTGGGTTCAGTTATGTGGGTGTGTTCATCCAGATTCTCCCTGTTGGTTTTCCCTTTTGCCAATGTCACATTACTGTATGATTTATCTGGGTTGCTGGCCCTTTGGTTTTGTGCCTGTCCTGGCTCACCTGGTCCCTGCCCTGCAGGGCTGGGATGGACCACTGAGGGCGTGGTTTCCAGCCGTCTGCCAGCTCATGAAAACCCTGTATGTCAGGACAAGCCTGGGCGGCAACCATCGCCGCAGGGCTTCCACACAGAAGGCTATAATACAGAGAACGGGCTAGGCAGATGCAGTGCCACCCAAGAAGTCACACGGGAGAGACACACAGGCAGGGGAGAGGAAGGCGGTATCAGACCCTCAAAACCGCCAGGGACAGCTGTCAGGTGCGGTGCTCTGTGGCGGGCAGAACTAGGACACAAGGGAAGTACTTGATGCCCCCAGTTGGAGTTTGGTGTTGTGCAGGTGCTCCCCTCTGCACCCAGAGCAGGCAAAAGGTTAGGGCTGGCCCCAGGGCAGTCTGCGGCCAGCAATGGAAGTGAACTTGCACTTACGCCCTTTGCATCCTCACCTGGTGGAAATGTGGGCCAAAGTTCTAAGGAGACCATCGCAGCCCAGGAAAGTCAGCGGAACACTTGAGTCCTCCCTTTAATGTCCTTTTATTTTCTTTGACGCAGCCCGGTGAGGGAAAGATCCCATAGATTCTTCTGGAAACTGTCAAGATACTGGGAAGATGAATGCAAAGCTTGCATAGATTGGGGTGCCCACGGTTTGGATTTTCAAGGTCTGAAACATGAAAAGAGACGGAGCAAGTGAGACCTCCAGGAGCAACATGGCTGCCCTAGCAGGGGAGGGGGAGCCTAATGCCGGAGGAAGCTGCTGGGTCTCCCATCTGGCTGCACCTCAGCACCACCTTAACATGAACTTCCAGGAGTTGAGGTATAACTTAGATGCGGTCAAGGGCACAGGTCTTAAAGGTACAGCCGGACGACCTCTCACACGGAAGCTAACCTGACAGTTCAGCCCTTTGGACATCATGTTCCCTCAATATCCCAGCTTCCCCTCCCCCACCAAAGGCAATTTGTATTCTGATTTCCAACCTCTATTTCCAGGAAAATAACCTGGAAAATTAAAAAAAAATATATTGATGCCCCAGTGCTTACACATGGCATCCTGGGTGGTGCCTTGGCCAGGGAGTGAATCTCCTCCCAGGGGACCCCACTGTGCTGTGGCTCATGGCACAGCCCCATTCCCTGCAGGGCAGCCCCCAGACCTTCTTGAATTCACAGCCCCCCCTGTGCCTCTGAGGCTCTCAGGCGAGTTCTAGATTGTGGCCATCAGAAGCCAGGTCAAGTGCTGATTCACGTGGATGCTGGCACCGCCCACTGAGGTAGCCAGGCTCAGTCTTCCTCGGAAGAGCCAGAGTGACGCAGGCACCCCAGGCCCTGCGATTGGCAGGGGGTGGTGGGCTGTGCACGGGCCCAGGTGACACGGAGATGGCAGATGCATTCCCCTAAGCCCCCCCCCCTTTTTTTTTTTGACAGGCAGAGTGGACAGTGAGAGAGAGAGAGACAGAGAGAAAGGTCTTCCTTTTGCTGTTGGTTCACCCTCCAATGGCCACAGCGGCCGGCGCACCGCGCTGATCCGATGGCAGGAACCAGGTACTTATCCTGGTCTCCCATGGGGTGCAGGGCCCAAGGACTTGGGCCATCCTCCACTGCACTCCCTGGCCACAGCAGAGAGCTGGCCTGGAAGAAGGGCAACCAGGACAGAATCCAGTGCCCCGACCGGGACTAGAACCCAGTGTGCCGGCGCCGCTAGGCAGAGGATTAGCCTAGTGAGCTGCGACGCCGGCCTCCCCTAAGCCCTTTAACATTTATGAAATGGATTGGCTGTGGCCCCAAACCAGCAGAGTCATCAGTACGGTTGCAAGCTTTTCATTACAGAAACTTCCTCTGTGGCTTCGTCGTTTCCCATGTGAGCACGCTTCTCCTGTGGATCACTGTGGATTTGAAGTCAGTGAGAGAAAGAGCACCCAGAGATAAAAAAGGAAAGACAAAGCTCCACTCACGTGGCTCTTGCAGGACGGCTTGGAGAAGCCAAACTTCTGCGTGATCTGGTTTGTCCTGAACTCCTGCCACTTGCCGTCCACCAGGGTCTGCGCTCTGATCTCATACTTCACCAGACGCTCCGCCCGCAGGCTGACCGGGCTGTACTCTAAGACCGTAGAGGACAGCCCGAGGTCTGTGTGCCTTATTCTCTGTGAAGACAATGATCCAAGTCAGGCGCCTGGGACTGGGGCGGCCAGAGCTGGTGAAATCTGGTTCTTGGCTCTTTTTTTTTTAATTAATTAATTTATTTTATTTGAAAGTCAGAGTTACACACAGAGAGAAGGAGAGGCAGACAGAGAGAGAGAGAGAGAGAGAGAGAGAGGTCTTCCATCTGCTGGTTCACTCCCCAAGTGGCTGCAATGGCTGGAGCTGCTCTGATCTGAAGCCAGGAGCCAGGAGCTTCCTCTGGGTCTTCCACCCACGTCGGGTGCAGGAGCCCAAGGACTTGGGCCACCTTTGACTACTTTCCCAGGCCACAGCAGAGAGCTGGATGAGAAGTGGGGCAGCCAGGACTCGAACCTGCGCCCATATGGGATGCGGGCACTGCAGGCGGAGGCTTTACCCGCTATGCCGCAGCGCCGGCCCCACCTGGCTCTTACCTTCCCCCTGTAGCCCGTGTGCGGGCAGCACAAGGCATTCCCCAAGAGTGCACTACACAAACCGCTGGCCAGTGAATGGGAGTTTGGCCAACCCAGAACAACGTCACCAGCTCACGCTTCACTTGCTGGGGTTAAGACACCAACAGGGGGATAGGCGTTTGGCGCGGAGGCTAAGCCACCCCTTAGGATACCTGCATTCCCCATCAAAGTGCTTGGGTGAGAGTCCTGGCTCCACATCCCATACAGCTTCCTGCTCACGTGCACCTGGGGGAAAGCAGCTGATGGCTCCAGTGAGTGAGTCCCTGCCGCCAACAAGGGAAACCTGGACTGAGTTCCTGGTTCCAGCTTCAGCCCCAGTAAGGGACCATTGTGTGCATTTGGGGAGTGAAGCAGCAGATACGCGCTTTCTGTCTCTCTCCCACATCCCACTTTTATAGACAGATATATAGATCGACTGGTTTTAAACATCAACATTTGTATGTGATGTATTCATCGGGACATTCCAGCTGGTGCTGTGACGTAACTAATCTCTTTCATCTGGTAAAATCCATGCATTGAGAAATGCCTGAGTCACGGCACACCATGAGCTCAGGCCCCAGGAAGAGGCGTGCCCTGCTCCAGGGCACACAGGGAGGGACGGCCAAAGCTGGGATTAAACTCAGGCCTTTCCATGTGTGTGTTCAGTCATCAACTCTTCCACACAGGGACTTAAAGCTCCGCTTTGTTCCAGGCACTGTGCTTGGCAGTGGTAATAAAAGCATTAACAAGATATGCCACGTTGGGGCTGGTGCCATGGCATGGTAGGTTAAGCCTCCATCTGCAGTGCTGGCATCTCATATGGGCGCCAGTTCAAGTCCTGGCTGCTCCACTTCTGATCCAGCTCCCTGCTAATGTGCCTTGGAAAGCGCAGAAGATAGCTCATATGGGAGACCCAGAAGAAGCTCCGGGGCCCAGAAGAAACTCCAGGTCCCTGGCTTCGGATTGGCCCAGCTCTGGCTGTTGAGGGCATTTGGAGAGTAACCAGTGGATAGAAGATCTCCCTCTTTCTCTCTCTTCCTCGCTCTGTAACTCTGCCTCTCAAATAAATAAGTAAACCTTAAAAAAAAAAAAAAGCTATGGTAGTTTAGGGAAGAGAGACATAGAAGCAAGTCCTAAGTAGAACAAGGGGGTCCTTCATCATAGCTGTCTATCATCATCAGCATCATCATCACTAGGGCATATATAGTGCTTTAGGCGTCAGGTCTTGTACCAGGCCCTTTGCACAAAGTCACACATTTAATATCTACAGCAGGCTGTGAGGTAGGTCCCATCGCCTTCCCCATGTACAGGCGGGGAACCAGATAAAAGGCAGACTTGCTATGGCCACACAGCTCTCCAAGCAACGTGACTGCAATGCTGCTTTCAACACGACCTTCTCCTGCCTTTCCTAAAAGTCAAGCAGGAGCAGCGAGCCCAGGGCCTCCACCATCCTGCCTTCCCAGCATCCTACCCCTGCCCTGCTGTGCCACCCTAAACGAGGTCATTCCCTCTCCCGCTGTAGGCACCACCTCTGACGTCCGTAGAAGCATGATCACCAGCAAAGCATCCCTGTCTTCTACAGCCCCAAATGTGGGGAGCGAGGCCCAGAATTGAGCCCCCGCTTTACCAGTGGCAGCCACGTAAGTGTGACGATACTGTTTTGAGAAGCTCACCTGTTAAATGGGCCAACAATACCTCCTTCCTAAGGTTGTTGCAAAATCAACTGACATGACGTATTTGAGTATGATTAACACCGGGCTCGCACACAGTCCACAGCCATGGTTAATTAGTGATGAATCAGTAATTACAAATTTGATATGAATTGGCTCAAACATCCGCTCTATCATTCTTACCTGCATATAAAAACTGTAAGCGTTAGTAGCATGTCTGAATCCCTTTAACTCAAAGAAGAATCCATACACAGCTATCGTTTTTGACTGAGTTGTGTACTGCTACGTTGGGAAAGAAAAACAACAGAGTGAGGGCTGAGGTCCCAGTAGTCAGTGGCGAGAGCGCTGAGCAAAGCAAATTCCAGTGACAACAAAAGGGACTCCTTTGACAACTGATTTGAAAGCGGAAATGCAATAGCAGTTGAGCCTAGGAAGGTGGGAGAAGCCAAACTGTCGTGACTCCACCCATCTTGGGCAGGTGAGTAGTAAGCAGTTGCTGCCACTAATGGTTGATAGAGCTGGCAGGCATTCACAGGAAGCAGTCCTTGCTGAGCCGTGACAACATTATTTACTCCGCATGTGCCTCGGTGAGGAGAAGCAAGAGCTGGGCGTGCTCTTGGCTGACCTGTGCTCTGACAACCTTGAGATAAAGTGTTTTGTGTCCACTTGATGGGCCTGAGACACTCCATGCTTATGGTACTGGCAAGGAGCCCCACAGGGCCAGCACTGTGGAAAGCCAATGAAGCCACCTGAGACCCTGGCATCCCATAAGAATGCTGGTTCTAGTCCCAGCTGCTCCACTTCCAATCCAGCTCTCTGCTGTGGCCTGGGAACGCAGTGGAAGATGGCTCAAGCGCTTGGGCCCCTGCACCCACATGGGAGACCCGGATGAGTTATTAGGTTCCTGGCTTCAGCCTGACCCAGCCCTGGTTGGTGCATCCTTTGGGAAGTGAACCAGTCTCTGGAAGATCTCTCTGTCTCTCCCTGTCTCTCTCTCTTGCTCTGCCTTTCAAGATAAATAAATAAATCTTAAAACTAAAAGAAGTCCTGGCTCTGCAGTCTACACTGTCTGCTTCAGCCAGGCCTCATCCGAGGGGACTCTGACTGTAGACGAAGCCCCGAGTCCCTTCAACACGAGTTTTTTGAGATGACTCCTGGGTGCCTTTAAAAATACTGGAGGAGAGCCACAGTTTTTTGGCGAATTGTGCCTATCAGAGGGAGCCCAAGACAGCACAGACTCTCCCGGTGACTGACTTGATCCATGGATGCCTCATTTTTGGAGGTTTCAGATTAGCCACCCAGAATGAGCTGCCTTTGCAACCTTGAACGAGGACTTGGGGTGGAGGCTCCTGGACACTGTTGGCAGCTGCCGACGTTTGCAGGGACGGGATGACCAAGCCATCCCATTTCCCCGCCCTCTGCTCGTTCTGGAATGCACAGTCCTGCATCTCTGGGAAACTCTGCCATCCCAGGAAAACTGGGATACCTGGCCATCCTAGTGGGGAAATTTGGGACACACATGTGAGTGCTGTGCAGGGTGTCCCAGGCCTCCGTCTTTGGGTTTCATTTCCATGGAGCAGGTGAGTGCTCAGGAGAGACACTCACAATTCCTTTTCACCTTTGACCTGCCTACCGGGCATCAGAAGTGATCCTGGGTTGTTCTAGAGAGGTCCCTAACCCAGCATGGGAGGTAAGTTCTTTCCGTACCTGGTTAAGGTGCAGCCCGAATCTCACAGCCTGGGTGTCCAGGTCCCTCAGGTGGGCCATGTCACCCCCGCTCTCCAGCTGAAAGGGGGATAACACACACAGTTCCGGCAGCCCGGCCATGAAAGGTGACTTCTCACCAGGGGCCTGTCAGACCCTGAATCCCCACACCTCCCTGTGCTCCGGAGTTCCAGAGGGGCCCCACACGCAGCCACACTTCCACTCCACCAGCATTATTGCAAACCTACTATGTGTCAGTAGGCTTACTGTGCGCTCAATGCTTTCAGAGAACACAGAGAGCAGAAAAGACAAATGCTCAAGCAGTCTCACTAGGGAAATAACAGGTGCGCATCGGTAGCCCGAGCGTGAGGATGACCATGGTCACAGAGACAAGAGCAGGTGTGGCCCTGCAGGCAGGCTCCACGTGAGGGCTGGGCACAGGAGGAGTGGAATTCAGGGGATGACATTGTGGGTGGGCAACGGAAGGAGGGGGCAGGGTCAGAGGACACAGACGGGGGGTGGGAGGCTTCCCGAGGTGTCAGCCCAGGGACTGTCCCCTGTGCCGCTCCCCTGTGAGCACATGGTTCTGAGTTTTGTCCTGGAGAAGCACCACTCCGTGGACACATTATCCACCACACAGAGAGCGCTGGGCACTGTGGTTGGTGGAATACAATAGGTATTTGTGAGGCTGAGTTGAATTGTAACTAGTGACTCATGCGTGTTCAGAGCTCAAACACTGCTCTATTTCATCTCTAAAAATGCAAGTTTGGAAACACACAAGAAACACAACGGTCAGGACAGACAATTCACAAAGGGGGAGAGGCTGCATGGAAAAAGATTCGTAGTCGCTGGTAATGAAGGGAGCGAATGTTCTGCATTGCTGAGCCTCATTTATCACTTGGGAGAAGAAAAATTTGGTCCCAATATTTATTAATGTAGATCAAGAACTAAAATGCACATTGCTTTCTGTGCCAGGGTTTCTATTTTGAAAATCTCCTCTAAGAAAATAATTCGAACAACAGTAAAAATCAATCATTATGTGCAAATATGTTCTCTTTACTATCATTTACAACAGTAAATGATTAGAAACACTGCAAATTTTTTACAACAAAGGAGTCACACAGGGTAGCATTGCTCTCGGCAAATTCTCTTGGTGGAAGAGTTTAGAGCCATTAGGAGAAGTGCATTTGATTGCGTGTCTTACGTGTTTACAAAAGGACCAAGAGGCAATAAATACTGGGAGACATTAACAGTGGTTGGCAAAGGGTATTTCCTCTCCTTCGACTTCTCTGCATTTTGAAAATGCTCTGTAATAAATTCTTGTTACATTTGTGTTGGTCTGGAGAGGATGCGACGGCTGCTCCCCACACCATCTAGGTCATCATGACAGGTGCCCGAAGCACTTGGGCCTCCCTACTCCTGCCCTTCCTTGCTCCCCCTGGTGGAGGATCCACATACATCCTGAACCTCAAAGGCCAAATCTAGGTCCAGAAAAGGCAAAGGCAGAGAGGCAGGGACGGAGAGTGAGGTCCTTGCTTGGCGGGCGGCTCACCGCTTGGTAGTGGCTGGCCATAATGCGCATCAGCCAGGACTCCGGGAAGAAGTTGAGGTGCCTTAACATTTCCAGATCCTCGCCTGGAAGAGAACGAGGGGCATACGTTACAGGTGCCTTCATAGCAGAACCTCAAAAGCCTCACTCACAGAAAGAGAAAGAAGTCAGGCACCGAAGGAAGACAGAAAGCACCCAGGACTTGTTAAAGGCTGAGAAAAGGAATAAAAGGTTGAGAAAATGGGAATAAAACATCTTGGAGTCGCACGATTGTGTTTATGGTCAATTACTTGTAGTCTCCAAATTAATCCCCTGTTAGCTATTATGCAAATAAAGTTTCCGAGGAATGATGAACACACTCCAAATCGGATGCAGCATCAGCTTCAGGGGGAGATGTTCTGTGTTACTCTCAGATACTAATGTGTTGAAGGTTAACATCTTACTTTGAAAGAAATATATTCCCAGCAATCCTGCAGGAAGATACTGCCGCCTGTGCAGCCTGGAGATATTGCTGACACCGAGCCATTGGTAGCCCTCCAAGGTCAGCCACAACCTCACAAGGCTGCTCCTGTCTCACAATACCACCCAAAAATGTCTCCAAGGTAGGAAGACGTTTGTGGATCAGCCCTTTAGTTTTCTTCCTATGCCTTTCCCTAGGTCTTCCCTCCCAGGGCCCCAAGAACTCTCAAACTGACCCATCAGCTACAAGCCTTCACAGCCCCCTCGGCTGCAATCCTTCCAGGCAAGGGTGCTCTGAGGCAGATAATCCCCAAGAAGCAGCTTGGGCAAAACTCCCCGGATCCGTCAGCCACCCCTGTGACTTAGAGCTACTTATTGTACGTGGGCAGCTGGAAACAGCTTTGCAAAAGTTCTCAGAGCTCCTTTCAAAGGAAAAGGTCTTGCTGGGTGCCTGCTGGACCGCAGAGAGCATCTTCCCCAATGCTTCCCTCTCCTTTCCCCATCACAGTCTCTCCCCTGTGCCCAGAGCTTGCGGTTAAGGGAGCACAAGCCTGGGTCTGGAGCACTGATCTGGAATTTTCTCCCGAATCACAAAATAAGCCACCTAGAGGGGAATACCAAATCATGGGGCAAGGCACAAAATCCGATGGCCATAAAACAGCCCTTGGCAGCTGAGGACGGCGTCCCAAGGGATACACCTCTTCTAGCCATCACTGTAAGTCAGGAAAGCACCGGCCAGCCCCGTGGAACAAGGGGAACCGAGAAGAACTGGTTAAGGGACTTGCCCAATGTCACACTGCTTGGAAGTGACCACATCGCATTCCTTTGGAAATGTCTGCCGCAGCTTCCCTGGGAGTGGCTGGGGGATGGGGGTTGGAGGTTGGGGCAGGTCCCCTACAGCTTTCTGGGGACCCCTCACACGGGCTGGCACTCACCGCTGGTGATGTTGTGCAGACGCAAGCAGAGGAAGAGCGGCATCAAGCTCTGTCCTGCGTCCTGTTCCAGAAAGCAACACTTCTTGGGGAAGCTGAGCAAAAGCACAAAGCATAAAAGGCCTTCAGAAAACAGCTTTCGGGAGTGAGCTGGGGCTCGTGGGAGCCGTGCCACGGAGACCAGGGGTTTCAGCACGCAGGGTGGGCTTGCTGTGTGCAAGCAGGGGGGCTTAGATACCATTTGTGAAGCTGAACCCCAGGAGCTGTCATGGGACAAGTGGGTTTTGTGCAGTGTCTACCTACCACTGGATCATGCACGTAGCTGGTCCCCAACCAGCGTGTATGAAGTGGTGACGGGAACGCATCGAGGATTTCATACACATTGCTCACCTGATCTCACCAACTTTCTGTGGGACAGACAGGGCAAGCCTCATCAGCTCCCTTTCACAGATGAAAAACCGAGGTTCGGGCAGGACTCGAAACCAGGACTTCTGAATCTTCCTCTACACATACGTACTTATCAAAAGATAGGTGACCAAACCCAGGACTTCCGAAGTGCTTTCTGGCAGAATTACAGAGAAAGGAAGCAGACGTGTGGGCATCTACATTCAGCAGCTGGTTTCACCTCGGTCCTGCTGCCGTCACTGCTGGTTCTGAATGCCAGCTGTTTCCACACAGGGCAGAAGGTCAGGGTCAACTTCAGAAGGGCAGATTCCCCTCGAGAAGTTGTGCACACAGACACACATCCACCCCTGTGTTGAAGTCATTTGCTTCAAAAAATGGTCATTTTTCACCAGTGGGGACACTAAAGGGTGCCATGTCTACATCTCCTTGGAAATGCCAAGTCATTCCCTGTCGCTCCCCGTCTTCATGGGGGAACGACACAGGACCCTGCGCTGTTCTTTCGTCTGCTCGGCCCTCCCCGGGTTTGCTGCTGGTTCTTCCCGGGTTGGCTACTATCCCTTCCACCTCCGTGGAAGGGCAGTTCCCCCTGGCCGCATTCCCCACTTCCGCAGGGGAGCGGCACACCGCCGGCCAGCTTTCTCGGGGGCTGCACGGGTTCCCTTAGATGTTCCCCATAGATGTTCCTGGTGCATGCCGTCTCTCTCCTCCTTTATAGTCCTCCTCCGCCAATCCTAACTCGGCTGCCCACACGCCGAGTACGCTGCTCTCCTCCAATCAGGAGCAAGTCCTACAGTTTATTAGTTGAACTGGAGGCAGCTGGGTAGAAGCTGTTTTCTCCTCTCCCAGCGCCATATTGTAGGAGAGCAGATGCATAGAATAAGTCTTAATTCCAGTAACAGTCTAGTCCGAGCTGCTCCCCACAGAGGAGAGCAGATGCATAGAATAAGTCTTAATTCCAGTAACTCAGTCTAGTCCGAGCTGCTCCCCACAATTCCCCAAGGCAGATCCTGTGTGAGATCGGCCAAGGGCACCTGTAGATTGTTGCTCCATGAGCCCAAGGTGACGTCCAGGTCATATCCTGTCCTGGCTGGCCCAAAGGCACCATGGGCCCTGTGGCCTGCCTCTGAGAGATGCCTACCAGCCAGCCTGGGACCACTCATCATCGTGACATCTGGGCATTCCCAAGGCTCTCCAAGTCAGGGGTCCCGGTGGATGGGTCTAGGGAAGCTGAGGAATTGTGGAAGGGGAGAGGAGCACAAGGTCAAGTGTGTTCGGATACAGTTTGACAGCTGTTTGTAGAATTGGAGGAGGACAGATGAGGCAGTGCTTTCCCGAGGGCAGAGCTGGAACCAGGGCAGCTGGGGCTGGCATGGGCCAGACCAGTGCTCCAAGAACACTGGTCCCTGTGGGCTTCCTTTCCACAGAACAATCTGGAAGGCACCTCCTTCCTGCCTTTCTCCATCTAATGAAGGGGCATCATGGCGGCAGCAGGTGCCAAGGCGGGAAGCAGAGGCCAAGCTGATGCAGGCATCCCCAGCCTCACCAGGTAATCTGGCAAAGGAGCCCGTGCCTGTGGCCCACTGCTTCCCTGAGTAGTCGGCACCTGCTGCAGCTACCGCTTAAACACGGTCAGTTTCAGCCACAGAAGAGGCGGGAAGGACAGGTCTAGAGGGAAGCATTTCCCCTCCCCCCCAGAAGCCGCCTGGCACCCAGGCTGCTGCTTTGCATGGAGTAGGAGGGCAGCTGGGGGAACAGGAGGGCCCAAGGCCCTGAGGGGGTTGCAGACGCAGAGGCCCCCAGCCAGGACCTCTCTGGACCGATCTGGGAACAGATGGTTGGAGTTCACGACCCTGGGGGGAAGTGCTGAGATGCCGCCCAGGGTGGCTGACATGGAGAGGTCATGTTTATCGCCCACACAAGCTGGGCCCTGGAGCCAGGCATCCCGCAGTCACGTGACGGAGCCTGTCTGAGCTTCACCCTCCTGTGTCAGGTGGGGACGAGAGCCCGCATGCCTCCTGGGGGTCGTCAGTGGAATCAGAAGGTGGATCTCAGCAAGTGGTAGGTACAACTGTGCACCCAGTGAGCCCACCCACAGGGCCTGCGAGTGCCACCCCCAGCCGATCTCCCCCAAGTGCCTTGCACCCACACGAGCCTGCCTGGTGCCCAGCACCGTCCCAGGTGGTGTTCACCACCATCGCTACCCTCTACCTCACCCAGGCCATACGCCACCCCAGAGGGAGAATACGGTGTCCTCAGCTTCTGGCCTGAAAATCCCACTCCCTGGAAGCCATCGTGAGAACCTTGCTCCTGGCGCACAGTGTGGTCCAGCATTCAATGCCGGCCTCCCCAGCCCAGCCCAGCCCAGAGACCTCCCTGCAGCTGGCTCCGTCCCCAACGCCTGTAACAACTGGGACTGGGCCAGCCCAGGCTGGGAGCCAGGAACTCCATCGGAGTCTCCTGCGTGGGTGGCAGGGACCTGACTGCTTGGGCCATCACTGCTGCCCCCAGCGTGTATATCAGACAGAAGCTGGAATTGGGAGAAGAGCAGAGTGTTGAACCCAGGCACTCTGTTACTGGATGCGGGCATTCCAATTGGCATCTGTGCCGAACGCCCGCCCCATATATTACATTTCAAGGTAAACTTTGAAAAAAATACACACCTGGGGGAGATCAGAGTGAGAAGGGCACGAAGCTGTTTTCGAGATGTAAGTCAGTGCAGAGGACTAGACAACTCTTTCGGTCAGAGAGCTGGAAAAATGGTCCTCTTGGCTCTCAGCCCCAAAGTACAGTAAATAAGACAACAATTCCTGCTGCCAGCATCACATGGTTCCCTCCTGAACGTCACGCCGTTCAGTTGTTCCTGCCGTCGGTTGTACGTGCCCCTCCTGGGAGGCAGAGCTGAGCCCAGAGCAGTCTTGATAAATGGGTGGGTTTCCCTCCAGGCGTGTTGCCTGAAGTCTAACAGGCAGGACACGCCGGAGTGGGGCTCAGACCCAGGACGGACCCCTTCTGCTGTGTTACACAGTCACTGCTTGTCCCTACTTCCCAGATGGAAGAAGGGAATATGCGTCTGCCGTGCTGATCGCGGGTCCTCAGCGTCGGGCGCTTAGCTTGTGATTTGTTGGGAGAATTGACTGGGTGAATGATGTGGTCCCTGACCATTCTCTGGCTCCACTCCCACCATCCCACCCCTGCATTCACCCACAATTTATCTTGGAGGAGTAGTGCCAGCCCAGGTGCACAGGCTCGCACACTCTGGTGTACACACAGGATACTCCAGGCCCATATCCCACACCCGTGTGGTCTTGTCTGCAGTCGCCAGCTCATTTGTCAGGCCAAGCCCTAGCAGTCATTCATCCAAAGTCATCCATCAGTGTCATCCAACCCAATGCATCTGTATCTGGCTGTCAAGACGGTCCTGACCATTGCCAAGAAGGAAAACCAGGCAGAACCTCCAGAATCTTGTGTCGTGATCACCGCAGGTGCCCACTTCAAGGACCTCCCGCATCCAGACTCCTTCACTTCTTCCAGTCCCCCGTGTTTATGGTGGAAGATGTGCTTTGTGGCTTCTCAATAGGTCCAGGAATCCGCGAAGCCACATGGTGGAAAGTAAAACGTTGGTAAGGACTAGAAATCAATAATACATACAGCCCTTGAGAACGAGACAGATTCCGGCTCCAGAGAGGCGAGCCGGAGGGAGGAAGTGGTGAGCAGAGCAAGAGAAGACACGGACGAGGCAAGATGCACGCCAGCAAGGTCAGGAGAAATCCCCTGTCCCGGAGGACACCCACCTCTCTGCACAGGGCTCGGCAGAGAGAACAATCTAACAGCGCCAATGCCATGAGTCACGGGGTATTTCAAAACACATGTTCTGGTAAAGCGATTGACATTGTCACACCAGCAGTGCCAGGTTTCACGCTCGCTCTGTGGCTGCCTCTGCAAATGCCATTCATGAATCACAAGAGGCACATGGGGATGCCAATCACAGAGCGCTTCCTTGGAGAAATCAGGGGGCTCTGGACCCCTGAGGTGCAGGGTAGGCAGGGTGCCTGTCCTCCTAAGTTCTCCTAGGTGGTTTCCCAGGGTGGGTGGGAAGGGGCTACGGGAGGTACTGCTGTGCTGTCAGCCCAGTCCCATCCACACAGCCACACGTGTTCCGTTCTTTCTTCCAAGAGAAGCTAACAGGAGGACTCCACACAGTATGCAGGGGAGATCGGGGCAGGCCTCCTGGAGGCGGCGTTGGCCAGCTCTGTGAAGTTTGGGTCAAATCGGCTAGGGCCTGGTAAGAAGAGACCCAGCGGGACAGCACAGGAGATTCTAGAGTTGAGCTCATGTGGGAATTGGCTTCGCTGGCCACTCTCAATGACCTCCTTCCAACAAGGTTGCCAAGTTCATTGCCAGAACCCACCCACGCAGTGTCTGAGAGGGGCCAGTGTAGGGAGGAATAAGTCAGGGAGGGACCTGGATTCCAAGTCTGCTGTGGTTGGGCCTCAACCCTGAGTCAGCAGGCCCAGAAGAACCATCTCAACCCAGTCACAGCTCCATGTGAGTGTAGCACACGCCGTCCCGCCTCACTGCCCATCAAGGTCAAGGCCATGCCCAGCAGGACTGGAAGCAGCCAGTGCTCTTTGCACTTCTTGCAAGCTCTCATTCTGGGGGAAGCCTTGAGGGCTCTGCAAACAAGAACTTG